GTTCTTATTTCTGTATTCTCTGCTTTTGTGCGTTTTTTGGTTCATGTAGTTGGAATGATTGTCACTTAATTAAACTTAACTTTTCCTTCAAGGAATGAGGTTTTTTTTCAACTATCACAACTAGTATTGATATATTTTTTTTCTCAAAATTGTGCTTGAATTCAGAGCTATTCCATTTAACATTTAATTTTTTTTCCAGTTGTTTCCTATCAGTTTTTGTTTACATTGGTTTGGTCTCTCCAGCCAGGTTGTAGTCCACCCAGAGGCACGGTCCTTTTTTCTCTTATGCTGTCCCCATACCCAGTGGCTTCCATTAGGCATCTAGAGCCTTACAGAATGCTAGATACTAGATACTTCATGGAAGAGGAACAGATATCTTTTGAAGAAACCATTAAACAAAAATGAATGTACCATGTACTTTTTGGTTACTGTAAAGGGTACCTAAACTTATGTGATATTTTTTTATAAGAACACAATTTGGAAGGTATTTACCTTCACATTACTTTTAAGTTTTGGCACAAATTCTTATCCTTTTGTTTTCATAAAGTAAAACTTTTATTTTTTTAATGTTTTTATTTATTTTTGAGAGAGAGAGAGAGGGAGACAGAATGCAAATGGGGGAGGGGCAGAGAAAGAGGGAGGAACAGAATCTGAAGCAGGCTGTAGGCTCTGAGCTGTCAGTGCAGAGCCTGACTCGGGGCTCAAACTCATGAACCACGAGATCATGAGCTGAGCTGAAGTCAGATGCTTAGCCGACTGAACCACCCAGGTACCCCCAAATAAAACGTTTATAAGTAGAAAAGTTAGAATGATTTATACTGTTTCTTTAGGGTCATCATTACTGTAATTGGACTTCTCATTGAAGTAATGGGATTTTCATGGCCTAAGAACAGAACAAGAAGCCATTAGACAATTTAGCAACAATCGGGGAAGGTTACATTTTGGGAAAATGTGACAGGAATGTGGATCATCTATGTGGAGATGTCTGCTTTTTTTCTTTTTAATATCAAGAAAAATTTCACTGTTAAAGTAATTCGACTATGGATCTAAAATTCTGAAAAAAAAAAAAAAAAAAAAAAAAAAAAAACAAAAGAAAAAGACCAAAACCTGAAAAACTAAAAACCAAAATANAACAAGAAGCCATTAGACAATTTAGCAACAATCGGGGAAGGTTACATTTTGGGAAAATGTGACAGGAATGTGGATCATCTATGTGGAGATGTCTGCTTTTTTTCTTTTTAAAAAAAAAAAAAAAAAAAAAAAAAAAAAAAAAAAAAAAAAAAAAAAAAAAAAAAAAAAAAAAAAAAAAAAAAAAAAAAAAGAAACCAAAGAGCAAGACCAAAACCTGAAAAACTAAAAACCAAAATATCCATAACAGTGTCTTGCTACAGAAATCATTATTTGTATTTTGGGATATATATCCTTTGAATCTCCTATATAAATAGTTTTATACACAATTGTATAATTATAGTATATATATTTTCTTCTGTTTCTATGCAGCTTTTATAGTCATTTTAATGGATGAATTTCAAAGTAGTATCACTTTTTCCTTACTTGGCATTTTATGTTAAATACTGAATAGTTATGAATAGGATGCTTGCTTGTTGAGATAAATGCATAGTGAATTGCTCTCAGTCTTGGTGCTTAAGGCACATCTCGGTGAAGATGTTCAGCAGAGGAGCAGTATGGTTTAGTGATTATGAGCCGAATGGCTCAAGTTAAAATCCTTTCTTACATTAATTAGCCATGTGACCTTGGGTAAATTACTTAGTTTCTGCACCTCATTTCTCTCTTGTGTGAAATGGAAATAGTGATAGTATGCACCATAAATGTTTTTTGCTGAGGATTATTAGGTTAGTTGTCCTCTGAATCTGTCTTCTTACCAAGTGTTTTACTAGATTTTCAGTTCCTTTAAGGTAACATCTACATATTAATGAATGATGATGTTAGAGGATAAATGTTGCAGGAGAAATTGAAAAAGACCTTTAATCCTCTTAATGTATCTTTGGGATGGAGTATCAAGTATTGGGGATAGATTGGTAATGGTTGGCATGGATGGCAGATGGATGTGTTGATCTTTTTAGCAACCCTTAAAGTGGTTGTAGTTTAGTTGGTGTAGTAGAGAGAGGAATGCAAGAGGAATCAGATGATTAGCATTTTAGTTCTTTTTTTTTTTTTTTAATTTATATTCAAGTTAGTTAGCATACAGTGTAGTCTTGGCTTCGAGGTAGAACCCAGTGATTCATCTGGTGCTTATCTCAAAAAGTGGCCCTCCTTAATGCCCGTCAGTCATTTAAAACCCCCAACCCCCTTCCTGCAACCCTCAGTTTGTTCTCTGTATTTAAGAGTCTCTTATAGTTTGCCTCTTCCTCTGTTATCCTAGTTTTCCTTCCTTTCCCCTATGTTCATCTGTTTTGTTTTTTATATTCCATAGGTGAGTGAAATCATATGGTATTTGTCCTTCTCTGACTGACTTATTTCGCTTAGCATAGTACACTCCAGTTCTATCCATGTTGTAGCAAATGGCAAGATTTCATTCTTTTTTTTTTTAATATATATATTTTTTATTTATTTCTAGGAGAGAGAGAGACAGAGTGAGCAGGGGAGGGTCAGAGAGAGAGGGAGACACAGACTCTGAAATAGGCTCCAGGCTCTGAGCTGGCAGTCAGCACAGAGCTCGACGCGGGGCTCGAACCCACGAACCGCAAGATCATGACCTAAGCGAAAGTCGGATGCTTAACCGACTAAGGCACCCAGGCGCCCCAAGATTTCATTCTTTTTTATTGCCAAGTAACATTCCACTTGTGTATGAGTGTGTGTGTGTGTGTGTGTGTGTGTGTACCACATCTTCTTTATCCATTTATCAGTTGATGGACATTTGGGCTTTTTCCATACTTTGGCTATTGTTGATAACACTACTATAAACATTTGAGTGCACATGTCCCTTGAAATCAGCATTTTTGTATCCTTTGTATAAACTCCTAGTAGTGCAATTGCTGGATCATAGGGTAGTTCTATTTTTAATTTTTTGAGGAACCTCCATACTGTTTTCCAGAGTGGCTGCACCAATTTGCATTCCCGTCAACACTGCAAGAGGGTTCCCCTTGCTCCACATCCTCATCAACATCTGTTGTTTCTTGAGTTGTTAATGTTAGCCATTCTGACAGATGTGAAGTGGTATCTCATTGTAGTTTTGATTTGTATTTCCCTGATGAGGAGTGATGTTGAGCATTTTTTCATGTGTGGGTTGGCCATCTGGATGTCTTCTTTGGAAAAGTGTCTGTTGTCTTCTTCCTGTTTCTTTTCTGGATTATTTGTTTTTTGTGTGTTGAGTTTTGTTAAGTTTTTTTATAAATTTTGGATACTAACCCTTTATCTGATATGTCCTTTGCAAATATCTTCTCCCATTCTGTTGGTTTCTTCTTAGTTTTGCTGATTGTTTCCTTTGCTGTGCAGAAGCTTTTTATCTTGACGTGGTCCCAATAGTTCATTTTTGCTTTTGTCTCCCTTGCTTCTAGAGACATGTCAAGTAAAAAGTTGCTGCAGCTGAGGTCAAAGAGGTTGCTTCCTGTTTTCTCCTGTAGGATTTTGGTGGTTTTCCTGTCTCACATTTAGGTCTTTCATTCCATTTTGAATTTATTTTTGTGTGTGGTATAAGAAAGTGGTCCAGTTTCATTCTTCTGCATGTTGCTGCCCAGTTCTCCTGGCACCATTTGCTAAAGAGAATGTCGGTTTTTTCCTATTGGATGTTCTTTTCTGCTTTGTCGAAGGTTAGTTGGCCATACATTTGTGGGTCCATTTCTGGGTTCTCTATTCTATTCCTTTGGTCTATGTGTCTGTTTTTGTGCCAGTACCATACTATCTTGATGATTACAGCTTTGTAATACAGGTTAAAGTCTGGGATTGTGATGCCACTAGCTTTGGTTATCTTTTTCAACATTACTTTGGCTCTTTGGGGTCTTTTCTGGTTCCATACAAACTCTAGGATTGTTTGTTCTAGCTCTGTGAAGAATGCTGGTGTTATTTTGATTGGGATTGCATTGAATGTGTAGATTACTTTGGGTAGTATTGACATTTTAGCAGTATTTGTTCTTCCAATCCATGAGCATGGAATGTTTTTTCATTTCTTTGTGTCGTCTTCAGTTTCTTTCATAAGCTTTCTATAGTTTTTAGTGTATGGATCTTTTACCTCTTTGGTTAAGTTTATTCCTAGGTATTTTATAGTTTTTGGTGCTATTGTAAATGTAATTGACTCCTTGATACTGCTTTCTGTTGCTTCATTATTGGTGTATAGAAATACAGCCAGTTTTTGTACGTTGATTTTTATATCCTATGACTTCACTGAATTCATGTATCAGCTCTAGCAGTTTTTTGGTGGAGTCTTTTGGGTTTTCCGTGTAGAGAGAGTATCATACCGTCTGCATAGAGTGAAAGTTTGACTTCTTTTCTGCCAGCTTGGATGCCTTTTATTTCTTTGTGTTGTCTGCTTACTGAGGCTAGGACTTCTAACACTACGTTGAACAACAGTGGTGAGAGTCGATATCCCTGTCGTGTTCCTGATCTTAGGGGGAAAGCTCTCAGTTTTTCTCTAAGTTCTTTCTGATTTTTGTTAATGGTACAATCTCGAGAAGTCTTTTAGCCACTTTGAATCTGTGTTTTCATCTATAGAGATAACATTTACCCTGCCTCTCTCAGAGATGTCACTATGATTAAATAAGATGTTCTGTGAAAGCGAGTTGAAGACTATAAGGCACTGTTTACAGAAGTAAGCTTTTTATTAATTTAAGAGACTAAAAATTAGAGAATTCATACAGAGACCTTGATACAGTATTAGGCACACTCTGCAATGAAGGGTAGCTGCTAGTATTATTTGTTATTTTTATTGAGAAGACATCTACTTTTTTGTGTAAAGTTAACCCTGTTTACTGTTTAGGTTATTAAGTAGTTTATGAATATGTTATTAATATCTACTTTGATTTTTTTTTCTCTCTTTATTTCAGACTCCTGGGAGAGTTGGCTCTCAAGGTTCTGATTTAGATTCATCAGCTGCTCCTATAAACACAGTGGATGTCAATAATGAAAGCTCTTCAGAGGTATGGAAATAATTTGGCAATAAAATTTGGTATTTTTAAGGGAAAATGAGCAGAGGTTTGAAGTAATGGTCTGTAATTTAAACTTTCATAGAAAGGTCTTATCCTTCTTAGAAACTGGAATATGACTTAAATCACACATAAAAAATACAGTATTTAGTTGTAAGACTAAGAAAGTATATATTAAAATTGAAAATATTGTTAATTTGTCTTCATTGCTAATGTCATCTGAACTTAAGGAAGGTTTTAACGTTTATAAAAATTACCAATTAATTAGTGTTTATACTGTCATGAACTACTGAGCTAATGAAAAATTAGATTATCTGTAAAGTGCATACATTATTTGCTATCTTTATTTACAACTTTGTAAGAAGTTTTATATTTCATAGTTTATTAAAAAGTAATGGGGAAAGTAAATAAGTCTAAGAAAGAACTCAATTTTTTTGGCAAGTTAGCCTTAGTAGTTGCTTTATCATTATTATTATTTTTAACAAATAATGTTTGCATATTATAGAAAAAGGAGAAAAAGAAAGAGGAGAATGTAAAAACCACCAATAATATTGTCCTTAAGATATGGACACACTCACGTTCTGCTCTGACAGTTTTTGTCAGTTGCCCCATTCTGGGCCCAGTTGTACTGCCTACGTAATCCCTTTTTCTATGCTCCCCTTTCCACACCTCTTCGTTGGTGAGTCTGTTTTCTGTTTTGTGTATTTCTGGGTTTGCCTCTATATCCATTTCATCTCGTTTTGTCTCTTTCTGGCCATCTGAACCCTGAGAAGATCTAACAAGACCATGAGAGTGAGAAGAAAAGTATCAGTTGAGCTTGCTCAAAGAGCAGGTTTACTTGTTGACCTCAGTCGGATCGGAAAAAAAAAAGTCTCTAGTGGGTAGTGAGCAGTGCCTGGTAATCCTGCTGTATTTTCTTCTTAGGATCATTTTCCTACTCTTTGAGATAGTTTTATTGCCTTCTTTATCCTCAAATCTCTCGTGTGCTACCCTACCCTATCCCGTCTTCCCTCAGTCGCCTTCTATATTATAGGAACTATTGGATGAATGTCCTCATTTTGTTACCAAAGCTACATTTAGCAACTTTATTTTCTCTTATTTAGTACGTGGAAAACAGTTCCTTTTCTTATCAAACTTTAATCTGTTCTCTTGTGCTCTGGATTCCATTCTCTCACATTCTCATTTGTTTTCTCTCCCTTCTGACACTTTAGTTTTTACCTATGTCATGAATTATTCCTATTGGCATACAAATACTCCTCTAGAGCTCTAGAGGTTCATATGTCCAGTGCTAGGGTACATCCTTGGCAAGGCATACGGTGATCTCTCTCCTCTCTCTCTCTCTCTCTCCCTCTCCCTCTCTCCCCGCCCATCCCTCCCTCCCCCTCTCCCCCTCCCTGTCAGTTTCTCTTTTACTTTATTTCCCTTTTACCTTAAGGTTGGCATCGTACTTTGAACAAACCCTAGTTTTTAACTTTGTGCCCTTAGCAGCCATCTATATGGAACTTGAAATATCTCCAGGACCTTAAGGAAACAGTCAAAGGAGCACCTGGGTGGCTCAGTTGGTTAAGCGTCCAACTCTTGATTTTGGTCAAGGTCATGATCTCATGGTTTGTGAAACTGAGCCCACATTGGGCTTGGTGCTGACAATGAAGAACCTGTTTGGGATTGTTTTTCCCTTTCTCTCTTCCCCTCCCCTCCTCAAAATAAATAAAAAACTTAAAAAAAATAGAAATAAAGCATTACCATACTTTATTTATATCATACTTATGTCCTATTTTATTTAAGGTAATGTGTAATATTGTCTTCGTATGGGCTATTATAATAAAAGTGCTATAGACTGAGGGGCTTAAACAACAAACATTTATTTCTCAGAGTTCTAGAGGTTGCGAAGTTCATGATCAAGGTAGATTCTGTGTCTGGGAGGATCTGCTTCCTGGTTTAGGGATGCCCATCCTCATATGGCTGAAGGAGCAAGAAAGCTGTCTGAGATCTCTTTCACAGGGCACTAATTACATTCATGAGGGCTCCACCCTCTGACCTAATCACCTCCCTAAAGCCCCACCTCCTAATACCATCACATCGGGGGTTAGTTTCAATATAATTTCAATATAATTCCAATATGAGGATACATATTCGGTTTATACCAAACATGTAATATGTATAATATATAATGTAATAAGTAATTTTTGGTATCCTTTAGTTGTTATCATCAGGATGGTTGTTCAGAGTATTTAGTATAATATATTGCCAGAAGCAAATACCTTTGTTCACTCTTTATACCTTTCTAGTCTGGCTTCTATCCTTAGTACCCACTGAACTTACTCACTGATGACCTGCATTCTCCTGGTCCTTTGCCTAGAGAGGGCAGGCTTTTTTTTGTAAGTGCTCACTGAAGTTTCTAGGTTGCCAGCTTCTCCAGCACCCAGTCTGGAATATGTGATGCGAAAGGAAACCCAGAGTCTTCATCCTGAGATCCTTTGCTGGTCTTCCTTCTCTTCACCTTTCAGAGTTTTCTCTGAAAGGAAAAATCCCCCAAACATTTGAAATGGACAGAGAGAGACAACTGGTGTTATTGAGAAAAATGAAGCAGGGAAGGAGGCACAGAAAGTGTTTTGGGTGGTGGCGATTTCAGTAGGATTGTCAGGGAAGACTTGTCTGAGAAGGACATAGCTGAGGAAGAACTGAAAGAAGTGAGGACATGAGTCATGTGGGTTTCTGGAACAACCATGTTTCGTTCACATGGAACAAGTAGAAAGTCTCCGAGGCAGGAGCACACTTGGCTTGTTGAAAAAGCAGCAGGGAAACTGGTGTGGCTCCAGCACAGAGAGTGAGGAGACACTAGGGCTGGGAGCTAATCAGGTCCCCCATATGCAGGGCCTTATTGGCCTGCCATATAGGCCTTTGTACACACTTTGGTTTTTTACTGCTGAGATGGGAGCCGTTGGAGAGTTCTGACAAGGGAAGTGACAGCATTTATTTGCATTTTTATAGGATGCATTCTCACTGCCGCATGGAAAATAAACTGTTAATGGAGTAAGGATGGAGCAGAGAGGCTGTTGGAAGGCTGTTGCAGTGATCCATGTGCAGTGTGGGACTGGCTCAGATCAGGGTGCTAACAGGGGAGGTCCTGAGTTCCTGATATAGTTTGAAGGTAGTTGTACTAGGATTTTCTGATTACTGCGCTCTAAAATGTAATTATTTTCTTTCATAAGTTTTTCAAGAAGACTGTAGGCTTCCTGAGGATGGGACTTTGCCTTATTTTATCATTTTGTTCTCAGCACTGTAGAATAATGGCTGGAACACTGTAATCACACTCCGTATATACATTTTGAGTGAATGATTGAATGATTGTATGTGGAAACTTAACAGTGAAGAAACTAGTAAAGTGAAAGGCAGAACAAAGCTATCATGGGAAAAAGATGCAAATGATGCATTCTTTTAAGGAATTACTATTCTGTAGTTCCAGCGCTTTGGACTGTGGTTGCCTAGAAAACAGCTCTTTCATCAGTAAATAGAGAAAACAACAAAGAAAGAATTCATGTTCCTCACTTTCATCCCCTGGCTAATCTCCTTCAAAGGTTGTTAACAAGAAGAGTTAATGATATTAATGATTGCTAACATTTAGCAAATGTTTCTTTTGTATCAGATTCTATGATAAGCACTTTTCATGTATTATTTAATTTTCACGAGACCCCCCCCCATATGAAGTAGGTGTTATTGTTACCCCATTTCACAGATGAGTAAATTGAAGGTCATATAATCTACTACTAGTGGTGTGAATCCATGATTTGAAGTCTAGCTCTTAACTGCTACTCTGCCTTGCCTCCTAGTTTGGGACCTTATTTAAAGTCATCCTCTCCTTTGTTATTATCCTTAGTGACATCAGTAACTCAAGGAACATCCTAGTCTCCCAGTTCTTAATGTTTTTGATGCCAGTGATCTTTATTAATTCTTTTCTAGCTACTCAAGTTAATGGCAGTACCTTCCATCTTATACAGCAGAATGGTTTCACCTGAGATGTCAAAACTGTATCTTTCCATTCTTACCACAACTACCTGTCTTCTCAAAAACTTTCTCATATTCTTACTACTACTTTAGCCTTGCTGAATATTTCAGGTTTTTAATTCTTATCTTCTACTCTTTCAACCTTTCCTGGCTTCATTTCCTTTCCTCTCGAACCATACATCTAATGACAGAGTCTTTATTGAACAATGCCTGAGGACTACACTAAGCATTTATGTATTTCATGATAACTCGAGAGGAATAGGTGCTAACATTAACCCCATTTTATAAATGAGGAAATTGACATTTAGCTAAGTAAAGTAACTTCCTTAAGGTCATGTAGTCAGCATTGGTTGAATCTCAAATCCACATTATTTTTGACACAAAAACTCATGGTATTTATAACCTGTTGTCCTTCATTACTGTCTCCATTTTATTCACTTTCTCTCTGACACTTTCAGTTCCTCTGTTCTCTTATCCCTCCACTTGCCTATCTGACAAAACATTAAACCGTAGATCAGTGTAATGGCCCACATTTTAAAATACAGATATCGTTAGGAACAGGGAATTTGGGGATTGATTTAAAATGATTTTATTTGGTTCATAAAGTTAGAAGGAAGAGTCCCCTACTGGGAATTACGGCTATGGGCAAAATGGGGTCTTAAGCTAGTGGATTATGGTAAAGAATAAAAATTGCTTTCATTGTAAGGACTTTTTTTCTGTTGAGAATATGATGTCACATAAAGCTATTTGCTATAATTGCCAGTCATTTTTTGATCTAAAATAAAAGCTAACTTGCCAATAATGGCTCTTAGATAAGTAAGGACAAACAATCATAAACAAAAAGTAATAATATTCCAACTAAAGCAAGTGGTAACGGTAATAAAATTGAACTAATGGGAGTTTCCAGCATAAGGATGGGAGGGAGCTACTTTTAGACATCCTCCTTTGGATAGAGCTTTCACTTTTTGTATATAGTTACTACTTGAAAATTTCCCTTACATATACTAAAAAGATATACTAATTATTTTCCTATTTGTCTATTTTCATTGTCTATGTTTTGTTTTGTAAATAACTTTTTATGTATATCCTCCTAAAAGTTGTTATTTCACAGGGTTTCATCTGTCCGTTATGTATGAAAAGATGTGTAACTGCTAGTGATTTGTCGGAGCATTACCAGCAAGCGCACGTTGAAAATGACACAAGAGCACAAGAGCTTCTTAATGACTCCAGTGTTATTGTGGGTCCTGTATATTTTGCTTTAGTAGCTTGGTTATGGGTTGCTCAGAATAGCTTTGTTTTTCCTTGCCTTGGTGTTGCTCAACTTCTTCTGCTACAAAGGGAATATGGATTGTTTTAATTATGCATGCTTAAAAACAGGTTCAATAAGGAAAGCAGGCTCTTGGGAAGTTGGGTCCATTGCTCTTACTGTTTGCAGCTGTCTTTTTCTGAATCTGTAAACAAATATAAAAGTTTAATATTTTTGCATAGATTTTGCTGTGAAATTTGAAATAGAAAGTGAATGATATTTGATTTCAACATTTGTAAGTTATGTCTTTATTATTTAATGTTTTATTAATGAACATTTAAAATTGCCTTGGGTTAAAATGCTTTATATTCTTATATAGAAAGAGGACTTTGCATATTAATTGTTGGTATCTTTATTTGAGAAAGTATCCAGTATTAGAACCTGGATCTACCATTGTTTCAGTCTTTGTTTTGACTCCCTAAACTTGAGGAAGGGGATGGAATGGCACATACTCATCATTAACAGTGGGTCATCCAAATGCTTCTCTGTAGTGTGTGGGATGGTACATATGTAAGGCTGAGGTTGGAAGCCCGTGAGAGGAAGTATTGCCCATTTGCAGGCTAGAAAAAGGTTCTTAGATGATCTTGAAATAAATCTTTCCTTTGAAAATCACTGCAATATTCTATAAACAGAGACATAGCTTCTTTTCTGATTCTTTTGCAAATCTCACAAAAGAATGACACTTCTTGTACCCAGAAAGACAAAAGGAAAAAAAAAAACATTTGTTTTTCTGTCTGGCAATTATATATTTAAGAAAAGGATTTCACCAAACATTCACTTATTTAGCATATTTGTAGTGTACTTCTTATGCATCACATATTTTGGTAAGTAAAGGATATAAAAAAAGATAGGATTTTTATCCCAGGAAATTTCTGTGATAAATATTATTTGTAAAAAGAATGCGGTGGTGATTCAACTTGAGGAGAACCCCAGGAAAGCTTTGCTGGGGGAACAGTTAAACCAGATATTTTCTAGGGCAGTGGGGAGGATGGGTGCAATATAGGAAGACACCAGCCAGTGAAACTAACTAACTGGTGCCAAGGCAAAAGAGAGACCTAGAAGATTCTTGGAGCTCTCCTTATCATTTTACCGCTTGTCTTCCTTTCATAACTTTTGTGCCAACTTTTCTTCTTTATGGGTTAGCCAAAATCAAAAGTGACAATATCACCTACTTATCACTTAAATAAGAACTTTATTTTTAACTGAAAGAGCACTTGGTATAAGAGGGGTACCATAAGTATCAAGTTAAGGTTAAGGTCTCCCATGTAGTGTATCTGAGAAAGGATTAGAGATGGCTGAAATCTAAGAGTAATCTTAAGTAGTGTGTGTGTGTGTGTGTGTGTGTGTGTGTTTAGAAGTTGGTGAGAAGTTTGGAATAATTCAAGGAAATAAACATAGCTGGCTGTTTTTGGTGTTTTACTGTTTAGTAACAGCATTTTTGTGGACGCTATTGATCTATTTAACCTCAGCCCCCTTGGAGGTGGTTGCGAAAAAATAAATAGAGAAGCAGTCTCTTAATATCCACAATTAGTATTACAAAGTCCATGAACTAAAGATCACGCACTGTGTTCAGGGGACATCCCTCAGATATTCACTCTGAGCTTACGTTACTTTTATTTTAAATGAGTGATGTGGTTTTAATAAGCTTTTTTCTTTATCCTTCCCATCTAGATCAGGCTAGCATGTGAAAACTATTTTTGAAACATTTTTGCCTGTGTTTTTTTTCTTAAGTTTATTTATTTATTCTGAGAGAGATAGAGAGCCTGCAAGTGGGGTAGGGAGAGAGAGGATTCCAAGCAGGCTTGGCACCATCAGTGAGCAGCCCAATTGGCACCATCAGTGAGCGGCCCAACACAGGGCTCAAACTCACAAACTGTGAGATCATGACCTGATCATGACCGAGACCAAGAGTTGTATGCTTAACCGACTGAGCCACCCAGGTGCCCCAGCATGTGAATAATTTTAAGAAATGATTGTGGAAAGACAAAGCAGTATAGGAAAAAACTATAAAATGTGGGTCCAGAAATTAAAGAGGTCAGAATTAATAGAGTAAAAGTCACCTATTCAGTGATAAATATTTTTGCATCTAAGATACCAAACAACAGTTTAATATCATCTGTTTAAAAAGTTGAGAAAGTATATGTATTTTAGAAAGATTTATTTTTATTAGAAATGTCCCAAAATTAAAGTGTTATTTAAGCATGGAAAATTCACTTACGTGAATCATATGGAAAATTCACTTAGGTGGATTATTTCTATAATTAAATATATATTACTGAATTTCTAAAATTTCTCTTTAGGGATGAATCAGTTCTTTCTAAATATTAACCTGGTAATATTTAGAAACTTTAGAGAAGGTATGGCATACCTTAATGTGATCATTAGCTTTCTTGAATCCTTAGATATCTAGAGCCAAAATCTGGAAATAGAGACAATAGTCAAAAAGCCAAAATTGTAAAGATTAAATGGCATAATTGGTATGTGGATTCTCTGGGGAACATTCTGTTTATTTGCCTTCTAGATACTAGTAGAAGCTGACATGCAAAAGAGGAATGACGGCTAAATAGTATAGTTGTTGCACTAAAGGCATGTTAACTATTGTGGTACAACAGTTACCGGGCAGAAGTTATGCTAAATTAGGTATAAAGTGGAGCTGTTATAAAACATGATGGTAGATAATAGATGGTTATGAAGAAAGAGCATAACATCAGCTAGGTTAACACTTAGGCTGGGAACATTCATTCACTCAAAAGACAGTGCTTTGTATCAAATACCTCTGGAGCCTAATGGCATCATTCAGACGTACAAAAGGTACATCCTGAGTACTTAGTGCTACTACCTTTGCTCATTTAAGAGTTTCATAGGCGATCAATGCATTCACTCACCTGTTGTACCCCTGCCCTTAGCTCTGCTTCTGTGATCAGAACATACCTCTGCTTTCTAAATGCAGCATGTCTTTGTTTCAAACCTCTTTCCACACCTTTGTTAGAATGCCTTTCTTTTATTTCTGACAGTAACTCCTACTCATTCTTCAGTACGTAATTCTAGTGTCCAGTATATATACACATATACGAAATATATATAAGTCTGTGTATTTTTTGTAAAGTATTAACTCCTGTAACAGGCAGAGCTGGATTCCTCTTTTCCTGTGTTCCTGTAGTTCTTTATATATCCTTGTGTTATACCATTGTCTGGTAATGCTTGTCTACATATCGGTAGCCCCAGTACTCAGTGAGCCTTGATTCTGCTACATAATGTCCATAACTGGGAAGTGAGCATATGCTATTTGTGTAGCACCCGGTGAAGGAGAAGTTTTTGTTTGCTTTTTAGTTTTTACTTGTTCAGAGTACTTATTACTTCGCTCAGTCTACTCCTTGAAGGTTTTATAATCTGCAAGCTGTTAAAGCTCTTCTGTCTTTTTGCCAAATTCTGCCCTGCCAGGTTCATTAGTGTTTTTGTTTTTTATTTTCATCTATTTTTTAAGGAGGCTCCATGCTCAATGTGAGGTATGAGCTCAAGACCCTGAGATCAGGAGTCTTATGCTCTAACAACTGAGTCAGCCATTTTATTTTATTCATATTTTATTAAATAAATTTATAATGTAGAAATTATAGAGTATGTTCAAAAATCCTACACTAGCCATTAGGGAAATATGAATCAAAAGCTCCAGTGTATTGTGTATTATAGTGAATGTGGAAATTTGACAAGGTACTAAGGGTAGTAATGGAGCGAAAATCAGTATATGCAAAGGCCCAGAAATATAGGGTACCATGGTGGGTTTGGGGAATGTAGGTAAGTCAGAATAGTTGAACGTATCAGTATAGTTGTGGAGAGTGGGAGGTGTCCAGGCATCAGAGTGAACTGGTCATGGAGGAAATATTCATGTAGGACCTTGTATGCCACCGTATAATCCTGAGAATATTTGTAAGTGTTTGATATTTTATGGGACTATTAATTTTAGGCTTTTTCAGTGTTCATCTTAGGTCAGCAAAGAATTTACTGACTAGAATACTTCTCAACCATTGTAGATACTCTGTGGTAATTATGAGTTATTTAGTACATTACCTTTTCCAGAATGCTTTATGTTCTTAATTTTTTGGTTCTTATTCCTAGGAGGTAGATTGGAGCAGCTGTTATTTTACTAAGAGGATATCTAGAGTGAGGGGTGGGAGATATGATGGCAGACCTTCCCAACTCGTCTTCTAGGTTAGAACTCACTTCTCAAATTAGAATTCTGTACTCTGGCCATCAATGTACTCACCTAAAAGATAGTTGTAAGGGTTTTCTTTATATTTTGTAAACTTCAGTCAGAATGGACAGTGATGTACCTTTGCACAATACCCAGGTTTGGGCCTAACATCGTAAGTTACAATTTACTAAGGGCACCATTGGTGTATGATTTGACTGTATTTCATAACATACAAATTGCTATTTTACAGTATTGAACACAACTTTGTAACCCTTTCTTCCCTCTTTCTATAGGGTTTCATATGTCCTCAGTGTATGAAATCCCTTGGATCTGCTGATGAACTTTTCAAACACTATGAGGTAGTTCATGATGCTGGTAATGATTCAAGTCATGGAGGAGAGGCCCTTGCCCTGAAGCGGTACAGTACAGTTGCTTTGAAGTATTATGCTGTTATGAATGCATGTGATACTACCTCTTTCCTGTGTTAGGGCCTCGAGTAGTGTGTTCACCATTCTTTGTCAGAGTGACTGTGAGGTGAGGAGAATGGAATGTGAGAAGTTTGACAGGACTCAAGGAACAGAAAGAAGCCAGTGCTGTTTGAGCTGAGTGAATGAGCCGGAGAGTGTTAAGGCAGGGATAGAGTGTTTAGATTGGATAGTCCTTACTAATGAGTTTAGACTCTATGCTAAGTGCAACAGGAAGCTATTGATACTTATTGTTGGTAAATTAATGAGAGATATTTTGTTTCTGCCTCAGGTACTTGATGATTATATCATTTCTGTGATAGAGTGTTTTTCCATTTATGAATGATGAGCTTTCAGAATAAAATTATTTTTCTAAGGGTTTTATATATATATACCACTATACATAAAATTGTAAATAGTTTTTTTCTTTTAAGAATTGAGAAAACTAGAAATTAATGTGTAGTCACTAGCCATGATTAATTAAGAGACCAGGTTGTTAGAGAACATTAACTATTAATTCCTTTTTTCCCCCCAATATATGTTCAGAGATGATTTAACACTACTTAGACAAGAGGTCCAAGACCTTCAGGCTTCACTTAAGGTAAGAATAGAAATGATTACATTTGTGTATTTTCAGTGTTTCAGATGATAAATCTTTTGAAATTCACTAATTAAAAATCCTTTTTTTCCCCCCTTAGGAAGAAAAATGGTACTCAGAAGAATTGAAGAAAGAATTAGAAAAATTTCAAGGGCTTCAGCAACAAGTAAATGCTTTTAAATACTTGAAATGTGTTCATTAGATGTTTATTTTCATTGTTGAAAATAAGCATTTTGTAAGCAAGTGGCTTGATATAAATAATTTCCTAATGAATTTATCTGTATTTAATAGCCTATAGTATATGTCCTTTGTAATTCCAATGAATGCAAATATATTGGAAGCTAAGATGTGATTTCTTAAAGGTCCTCCATTAAGAATCAGTTACCTGTGGTTTTTGTTTTTTTTAATACCAGGCTGCATTATTCTAATTTCTGAAACTATACCTAAATGGTTAAAAAAATAATAGGATCAGACAATAGTGAAATTCTTCAGAGCATTTGTGTTGTGACAAATTGGAGATCACTAAATTGTCTATTAGTAGGGAAAGAACTAATTTTTTTTTAATTTTTAAATGTTTTTTTATTTATTTCTGAGAGAGAGAGAGAGAGAGAGAGAGAGACAGCGTGAGCAGGGGAGGGTCAGAGAGAGAGGGAAATACAGAATCTGAAGCAGGCTCCAGGCTCTGAGCTAGCCATCAGCACAGAGCCCGACATGGGGCTCAAACCCATGAACTGTGTGATCATAACCTGAGCCGAAGTGGGATGCTTAACCGACTGAGCCACCCGGGAACCCTGGGAAAGAATTATTATTAACTGTTTATTGTTTATATTCTTTTTTAAAAAACATATTTAAAGTTTATTTATTTTTGAGGGAGGGAGGAAGGAGGAGAGAGAAAAAGAGAGAGAAAGGTAGAAGGAGATGGGGGAGAGAGAGAATCCCAAGCAGGCCTTGCACTGCCAGCATGGAGCCTGACATGGGCTTGATCTCACCAATTGTGAGATCATGACCTGAGCCGAAATCAAGAGTCAGTTGCTCAACTGATTGAGCCACCCAGGCACCCCTGTTTATATTAGTGAAGATTGTGTGAAAATATGGGGGAATGGTTGTATTAAAAATTTTATATTTTTGAAACAGTGTTAGGTTTTAAAAAACAGAATAAAGGTATTTATGTATATGTGTATGTACATACACACACAGCTTTACATAAAAATAGTACACAGAAAAAGCCAAAATCATTGGTAACAAAAGTGGTTACTTTGGGTGAGATTCTGTTGATATATAAGATAATGTGTTTTCTAAATAAATGTCTTAACCAGTTATGATTTTTATATTAAAATTATATTGGTTTTATACTACAATTACATGAAGGATTATAGAGTATTGAAATTTACTAAAAATAGTTTTCATTTGTAAGAATGAAGTGGATAACCTTCAACAATAGCTCTAATATTTTTATGAAGTAATTAGTGATCCTTTTGCCCGTTCTCTTCGCATATTGTGACTCTCAGTCCGTCTTTTGCCTTTTTGTTTTTTTCTCTAAAAATTGTCATTTAGACTAGAAAAAAAGATCCCAAATAAGTAGATAGCAAGATATTATTAGTCTTATTACTGCTCTTATTACTACTATTATTACTAGCTTCTGTATTTGAGGTGTGAAAGAGGTTTTTAGTAATCTAAAAAGTACTTAAAGATCATTTACTCATGTTTTACATAGATGCCATTAACAAACAATCAAACATGTGCTGTATTATATTTCCGTACTTGAAATCAGAGGAACCTGTTTACTACATTTGAGATGACTCTTTCACATTTAATAAATTAAATTCTCCACAGTGCAAGGTGAAATTGCCTTGGTAGCAAATTTACCTTTGGAGAAAATGTATTTAAAATATTGATGAATATTAGCAACCAGTATGTCTAAATCTAATGAGTCAGATACACTATGAGTTGCCTTATTAAGCTCTTGAAGATATGTATAATTCTTCAGAATGTGGAAATAATGATGAGGCAGTGTAGTATTTTATTCCTAATGCACATAATAAATTAAACCTTATGGAATGTATTCTTTATTTCTGCTTTTTTAAAAGATGATTTATAACCATGAATCAAAAATTTGTGCTTTTAATGCCAGAATTTATCGTAGTGATAGTTCATGGCATATTTTCACTTATGCAGATTTTTACAAATTATAGTATTGAGTCTTATCTGCTGACTTAAGTATTGGTTTAGAATCTATATGTATAATTATAATAATTTATATTATTTTAAAATCTTTACTGAATTTATAGAATTTAAGATGATATCTATAGCAAGACTCAGAGTACTTTAATATATATTAACATTAAAAAAATTCTTAGAACCAGTGACTTCAGCTAGATCATTGTGCCAGTCTGCCTAATGGTACTTTAGAAATCTGGAAGATTATGAACAGGCCAAAATTTATTCAGAATCTTGCAACTTACCTGATGGAATGTGGCTTGTAGAGATTTTTTTCACTTTGGCAATTACAATAGTACTGTCTCTTCCTTTTAATGTGTTTGTTTATGTCTTATTTCCATTGAGGAGTCTAAACCTGATGGATTGGTGGCTGATTCATCAGCAGGTAACTTTACTTAAAGTAGATATTTCCTCATTTTTCTTTTTCTTCTTTTTTAAGTGTTTATTTTTGAGAGAGTGAGCACCAGTAGGGGAGGGGCAGAGAGAGAGGGAGACAGAGAATCCCAAGCAGGCTCTGCATGGTCCACGCAGCAGTGCAGAGCAGATCCCGTGGCTCGAACTCACGAACCTGTGAGATCATGACCTGAGCTCATATCAAGAGCTAGAAGCTTAACCGTTGGAGCCACCCAGGCGCCCCTACATTCTTTTCACTGTTTACTTTTTTTTTCTCTGATGCCTACATGAATTTGTATTGTGATTGTAATTTCTGGCCCTAAAACAGTGAAGATAATAGTCATATTTTAGGTTTAGAATATTATATGTGAACCTCATAATTTAATCAGTTGACAAAAATCTTTGTGTTTTCTTTGCTCATTATATTCTGAAGTTATAAATAAACTTCTGGAGTGTTACATTAGTACAGGTTAGTGAAAAGTTAAATCTGTTTTGAAGAGTGTTGTACTCTTTTTCTCTTGAAATAAAATGATGAAACTTCCATTTTTGTAATTGATTTTGGAGGAATGCTCAATGAATAATCAAATTTATATTTTGAGGTTAACTGTTGTATTTACTTTCCCTCTGAAATCTCTTCCTCTTTTTTTTGAAAGCTGTTTATGGGAATGGAGTATTAGGAGTTGACTGCATATTTTAATTGATTATTTAAGACTTGGATTGTTCTTAAACCATTTTTTAATTTTTAATTTTTTATTTTTAAAAAATATTTTATTTATTTTTGAGAGAGAGAGATAGACACAGCATGAGCAGGGGAGGGTCAGAGAGAGAGGGAGATACAGAATCCGAAGCAGTTTCCAGGCTCCAAACTGTCAACACAGAGCCTACTCAGGGCTCGAACTCACAAACCGTGAGATCATGACCTGAGTTAGATGCTTAGCCAACTGAGCCACCCGGTGCCCTGTTCTTAACCCATTTCTAATTTTATTTCTCAATACAATAAATTTTATTTAGAGAGCCAGAATATATTCCTGTTTGGTCAGTTGATGGTTATGGGAAAATAACTGAAATAGAAAACCAAAATAATCTCGGGACAAATATTTACAGATTATTTGGGCATGATGCTAAATATTCCTTGAATTTTTTTTTATGTTTATAAATTATGACTTGTGCCTTAAATGAATCAGATATGCTTAATTCTTGAAATGTGAAGATTTCTCTATTTATAACTGGATGATAGACTTACACTGATTCCCTTTTTTGTTTTTGCTTTTCATGTTGATTATCTATATAACAATGATTAGGATATAAGTAATAACAATTTAGGAAATGTAATTAGCATTAATTATGTATTTAAATAGCTATGATACATTTTTATAGAACTGCAGTCTTTGGAACAGCAATTAGAAGAAGCCCAAACAGAAAATTTTAATATTAAGCAAATGAAAGACTTATTTGAACAGAAAGCAGCCCAACTTGCCACTGAGATTGCAGGTAAATTGAATCAGATCTTTTTAGGTAATAAGTCAGTCTCATTACCTTTTTGCCATTGTATTCTAGAAATAAGGCATTGTATTTTAGTGTGATAAAACATTTGTTACAGACTCTGGTAGTGATTCCTGGAATTTAATAATAGAGTTGCTTTATAACTTATTTTGTTTGTCCTCTCACCTCCTCCTTTCAGAGGATTGATTTTCTCTGTAGAATTTTTCTTGTACTTTAGTGAAGGTGAATTTCCTTTGGGATATGCTTAAAGATTAACAGGTAACATTTTGAAGAAATTAAATAATATAGTATAGATTTAACATTTGGTTATGCTATCAATTACTTGTTTTTTAATTATATGCTTTTAGGTTAAAGTATTATACATGATTAAGTATACATTAAAATGCTAATTAGTGACAGTGCTGTATGGAATTTATTTAGACAAAGACATTTGATTATTTTAAGTTCATCATTTAATGTAACCGGAACTAAAAGTTTATTGTATATATTTATGGTTATCTAAGGAATACGAATTTGAATTAATGATATGTAGATATGTGTTGTAATATATAAGAATTCATAAAACTGCCGTTTCCTAGAGTTAATGTCATGAAACTAGTATTTATATAACTATCTTTAATTAGATATAAAGTCAAAATATGATGAAGAAAGAAGTCTTCGAGAAGCTGCTGAACAAAAAGTGACATATCTGACAGAAGAATTAAACAAAGAAACAACTATAATTCAAGATCTGAAGACTGAACTGGTAATTTAGAAACCATTTATTAGAATGTACTTTTATAATTTTCAAAATGGAAAATGAAATGTATACTATGAAAAAATTTTTAAAGTATTGTTTGAGTAAAATAAAGGAAATAATCCCTGTAGTTCTCTCCTCTGCACATATATCATATGATTTTTTTAATAAAAATGGAAGCTATGACACAAAATTTATTACTTTAACATTTTTATTTTTTCTATCTTAATATCATCTGTCTTTTTACTAGTTTCCTTCTTTGCATCTCTGTTCCTGACCTTTCCCTGACCTTTAGTTTTACAAATCCACCTACTTTTAGGATACTTCTGATTGCATTTCTAGCTTCATTTCAAATTCAACAAGTGTAACATCAAGTCATCATATTTCCTCCCCACCTGTTTCTGTCATTGGTACTATACATCTTCAGTGCTCTCCTAAGGTGTAACATCTTTGGATTGGCCCTTCGGCTCCTTTATTTATTTATTTATTTACTTATTTATTTATGTTTATTTATTTTGAGAGCGAGAGAGAGCAAACATGAATAGGGGAGGGGCAGAGAGAGAGAGGGAGAGAGAGAATCCCAGACAGGCTCTGTGCTTTCAGCAAGGAGCCCAGCACAGGGCTCGATCCCATGAACCATGAGATCATGATCTGAACTGAAACCAAAAGTTGGACACTCAACTGACTGAGCCACCCAGGTGCCCCTCTGCTTTTATTTAGCACTCAATAAGTATATGAATAAAATCAACCATATCCAACTTGCAACAAACCCTAATTTTGCTTACATCTGCTCCCTTATTTTTATTACCAGTTTCCTAGGATAGAAGCATTTATGCTTCAAAATGTGGCATTTAAGTGATTGTTATAACCATTGAGTGTAGTTTGTGAAGGAAAGGAAAGAACGCAAACAAAGCATTAAGGATAATTGTGAATTTGCTCTTTTTCACATTGTAGTGATACTCTTAAATATGACAGAGATTGGGAAGAGGAGAGGCTTATTGGAGAAAAGATATCAGTGGTCAATGTTTGCAATCCAACAATTGATATTAAAGAGTATTTTCACTTTGATTTCTTTGTAGTAAAACCATATAAAAGTGGTGTTATTTAGGTTTTTGCTATAATTTTTAATGAAAATACTTCACAGCTTCAGAGACCTGGTATAGAAGATGTTGCTGTGCTAAAGAAAGAATTGGTCCAAGTTCAAACACTAATGGACAACATGACATTGGAGCGTGAAAAAGAATCTGAAAAACTCAAAGATGAGTGCAAAAAGTTACAAGCAGAATATGCTTACTCAGAGGTAAGTTCAGTGTGCTTAAATGTGATTGTAATTAATTTGTTTAGTGTATACCATTGAGTGAAGCCACATTTGAAATTTTTCCAAGTGATCTATCAAAACAGTATTTGACTTTCATTTGCTCTGAGTGATATTTGTATAGGGTCAGTACAGTCTGAGAGACAATATTTACCTTTGCTTTATAAAGCTAGACATTTAGAGAAGAATGTATAACAGAGTATTGTTTTGTTTAATAAATGATATATATTGTGGAGAGCTGATATTTAAAGTTAAATTTGATCCAGGCTAGTCAATAAGTGGTAATTGAGTTTATCTCAGTTTGATGTAGGGGTAAAGGAAGTATGACGTTATTTTTTTTACAATTGTATTATCAATGTTGTTTAGAAAAAGTATTTAGGAAAACATTTTCTAGTAGGCTTGTTTTTCACTTATCAGTTATTGAATTATGTTGTTGAAAGAAATGTTACAAATCAACTAGACTCACCTTCATCCGGGACTCTCTGGTAAGTGATCCCCAACCCTTGCTAGGTGGTGCAGGAGGTGCTTGTTTCTTTATAAGTCAGCTGTTCCATTGAATTGACATTTGTTTTCCTAGAATTTTCATGCACTCGTTCCAGTTCTTCTTAGGAATTACACAGAATAAATTGTTCCTTTTTTCCACATGAGCTATTCAAAGACTGTTCATATTTACTCTGAGTTCTTTCTTTTTCAGGACAAACATTTTCAGTTCCTTCTGCCATTTGTCACATGACTTGACTTTGGCCCGTACATCCTTGATATAGTTATGTTAGTATATAACAAGCTCTAGGATTTTTAATAAATATATTTGCTTAAAAATATAGCCTTTGTCTTTTTTACTGTATTATAGAGGATATTTTGTTAACAGTTAACAAACATTAATAGGTATTTGTAGTTCTTAAGCTCCCTTATGGGACATGGACCTCTGCTTTTCATATTTTCAGTTTAAAAAAGGTTGTTATAGTAACACTTCAGTTTGCATTTCTTCCTTAGAGTTTTTAAGCTGGTGATCTAAAAGCCACTCTATTCATAATTAGTAACATAATGAGCTATGGAGTATGAATATTATAGATAACCATGTCACCCTTTATTTTACTTCCTCCCGTATCTTTTCAGTGAAGCTTTGTAGGTACAACATGCATAGGCATGTGAAGCTTTATGATGCTCACTTAACACTTTAGACTTTAAAGTTTATGAACTTCAGGTGCAGATTTCCCAAAAGGAATCTTTGTAGCCCAATGATACATGACCCCACAGTTTTTCAAACAATTTCAGGGAGTTCATGAATTTATTGAAGGCATTTAAAAGCTTCTAATGTGTAATCAAGGAGATGCTGATTTAAAGAAGTCGTGTGAGGAAAAATCCCATTGAGATAATGTGAAGGTAGAAATACTTGAATCTGAGTGAATCGAGTCATTTATTTCTGTGTTTCAGTAAGAATTACTTTTAAAGTGTAATCCTTTCTGGACGTTTCCTACTGAGAATTGTAGAGTTATACATATACTTGTTATACAAATAGAATTTGAACAGGAAGAAGAAATTTATATATTTACTTGCATTTTGGGAAGAATATATGTGGGGAAATATTTCTGAGTAATATTTAAGAATTACTTTAATATGAAGGATTTTTGTAAATTTGCATTTTTATTCATGTAGATTGAATTATATATTATGAGAAGAAGTCATTTAAGATGAAAAAGTATAACTGGAGTTAGAAGATTTGGGGGGAAAAGGATTCAGTGACTTCCTGCACGGTCTTCCTATCAATAAGAGTAATTGTGGGAAACAGTGATTTTTTTTTTCTCTCAAAAAGATGTTTCTGGAAAAGAAGAAAAATGGCGTAGAAATTCATTCTTCACATCTTAACTTTTACATTTTCATAAAGTTTTAACTTTTTAAGTGTTTTAAAGTCAATTTTAAAATAAAGAGATTTATTCTTGCTGAATAGGGACTTAACGTTTCACCAGAATTTTTGTAAAACAAGGGTAATAATTACTTTCCAATAGTAATACTTAACTAATTGGTATGTAATGATTGAGACTTCAGATTATGTTGAACAAGTTTAGGAAGTGGTAGCATAAGAGTCAGAGTAATATGATTATTGGAAACAAACTCTTACTTTTTGAGCAACACTAAGTTTTGGATAACATGCCAGGTACTTTAAATATATGGTCTCATTTGTTTCTTTTAACTCTGTAAATTAAGTATTAAGTTTGTTTTATATTTAAGGAATCTGAAGCTCAGTGAAGTTAAATAACTTGTTTAAGTTCATGTACCTCATATAAGGAAGCTAGTATTGGATCCCAAGTCTCCTCCAAAGCCTAAAGTCTTTCTGTACCATGTTCACTTTCATTTTGGGTGGTCTGATAATTGCCTTATAAGTATATTTGTGCTATTAATTTTGACCTAATACTTAATGTTATTACTTTTATATTTTGCCATGTTATATGTTGTAATACTTATATTGAGTACAAGTTAAAATACTTTTGAGTTGTTTCACACCATTTTTATATTAAAACAATTAATGTCTAGATATTCCATCTCATGTATTTATAACACCATTTGTTTTTAGCTTGTGCTTTTTAAATATATGGCATGTATTTTATTAATTTATTAAAATTAAGTCCTGTTCTTAAATTTGTTTGTGAATTATAGCACCTAATGAAAAAATTTATTTATATATTTCTACTTTACTGAACCTAAATATTGGTATCTGAAACAAAATACACAAACAGGAATTAAAGGAGCTAAAAATGTAATGATTTGGGATTTCTAATTGAGGCTAAAGACATATGATGTGTAATACACATTGTTCAGTATGTCCTTATCTTCCATTACTTTCATTCATATATACCTATGAATTCATTGACAGGGTTTGTGTTGTTTGTTTTTGGTTTAGATATTTATACTCGATCTTAACCAAAAGGCTGAGAAGCGATAGGTTTAGATATTTTAGAAGACATAGAAAAATAATTCATTCTAAAGCACTTAAAAGTAATTTATACATAGTTATGTAATAGATCAGAAATTGAGGATTTAAGGGTTAAAATAAGTATTATTTTAAAAATTTACATTATTAAAAATATCAAAGCTATAATCAGCTTACATTTGGTGTGGTCTTGAATGTAGGTTTTTTAAGAATTTTATTTGTATTCCAAATAAACTCATTTTAAACTCCTTTTAAAAGCTAATATTTATAAAGATATGGAATAAAAATGATTATAGTCATGCATAGTTATTAAAGAGAATACTTAAATATCTTTTAAAAGTGTACTAAGAGATCAGAATTAGCTGTATGTTTGGACATTTTTATTATGTGTTCAGTGTGTATTTTTGTTAGTCTCATCTTCCACGATTCATCCATCATTTTATTATTTTTTTTTTCTGCTTTCTAATGGAGATGCTTAAACTTGAGGTAATGTGTTTTTGGAAGGCTTTTTAATATTAGTAATACCTTTAATACAGCACCTTCTATTGTCAGATGGCAATTTTGTGTTTTAAGGCAATCTCAGAACTTCAAAGATATGCTCATTTTTGTTAATCATGTAAATTTTCAACCATCTTTAAATGATTATTAACTAATAGTAGTAGAATATTAGGACAATAATTATAATTCTAAAGCACTAGCAGGATATTTGCTCAAAATATCTCTAATTAGTTTTTAATTTAAAACTTTTTAGTAAAAATCCAGCATTGAATTTGTAACATGGCTTCAACATGGAGGCTGTTTTATTGGGTCTCATATGCTGGGAACAAATATCTAGTAACTCCTTGGAGACAAATCACTCATTCCTTTAGAGAATAGTTTCTGAATGCATAGGGTCAGCAGCTATTTTAGGTGTGGGGAATACAACAGTGAATAAGACAGAGTGCCTGCTCTCATAAAGCTTGCAGTCTTTTGTGGAAGCCAGACAAAATATAAATAAATCAAATCATGATAGAAAGTCCATTGATACTAAGTGCTATAAAGAAAAGTAAAGTAGGGTATGTCTGGGCAGTAGTGGAGCTGACAGTGTAGGACAGGTTTAGATAGAGTGATCAGGGAAGGTCTTCTCAAGGAGGAATGTGTGAGAAGTAAGGAAGAATCAGGGTGAAGAATTGGGAGTAAGCATTCTCAGGGAGAGGGAGTGCAACTGTTAAAGTCTCAAGGTGCAGATGAGTTTGGCCTGTTAAATAGTGAGGAATGTCTTTCTGCTGGAGTGGAGAGCCATCTTGTTTTGGATTTTACCCATAGTCATATTTGAACAGGGAATGTACTTTCTGGCAGACTTTGACTTTTCAATTTTTATTTTCCCCCAGTACAAACATAATACATGATCATTGTAAAAGATTGAAATGATTCATGATGTACAACAGAGAAAATGAATGTAGTTCACTCCCCTTCTTCCCCTCTCCATGACTAAAGTGTACCTTTAGGTGTAAACTCTTCCCACAAAAGCTCTTTCTTTTTTCCACTCTTGAGTAAACTAAAAAATTTCAAATGGTTGCTTTCAAAAAAATTATAGTTAAAAAATACATATTTAGTGTACAAAAGATAAAATACCTAATGTTTAGTTCTTTAGGTATTAAAATATAAAACCATTTATAAGAACATATTTCAAAACTACAGAATATAATGAGATATTGTTGAATATATTTGCTTTACATTTTGCAAGACAGATGTTATTCTTGGCTTACTATATCTTATAAACTTTCTTATGAAATCATGGTATTTTAATAAAACATACTCCTAATTTGCATCTTAATATACACTATTATTTCTGTTTATTTTGTGTATATTTAGCATTTTAATGCTAAATCCTGTGATAAGATATTTACAAGTAGAGATTTAAATATGATATTTTATCTTCTTTTGTGATAAGTTGGCATTTACGCTACATGATTAAACCAGGGTAATTTAAAATAGCCAAACTGTTCCTAATATTTCTCTGAACATTCATAATGTTACTAATATAAAATGATCCTGAGATTCAAAGTTGTTAAGAATAGCAGTTTAAATAAACTCCCAGTATCAATGAAAAGGTTACATGATCAGTTTAAGAAAGAAATTATTAGGATATGCCTTTAACATTAATATAGTTAAAAACAATGAATATTTGAACATTTCCTTCTTTGAAGTATATGATATATATGGCATATATTATATCTATATATTGGTTGTTACATGTTGAAACACCCTGTGTATAAGCTGTAACTGTAAAGCAATGTGACAGATTGCCTTGCAGTATATCAGAAATGGCTTATTTACATTGTTTTCCTTAAAAGATTAGGCCAGGAAGATGCATTAGACATGCTGCTATTTGTAAAAACATTTTTGAAACCTCTTTTAGTTGACTTTAAACCAGTTTGGAAAACACTCCAAAAACTAGTTTTATCAACTTACAGTTATTAAAATAATATAAGCCCCCCAAGTGTTTGATTATTCAGTTCAATCACTTACGTTCTTTACTAGATGGTTTTCCCAAACGTAAAACCAATGCACTGTATTGGATGAAGATACACCACCAAAGAGAATCCTTTAAAAAAGAAAAAAGTGCCACACATACTGGAAGGGTTTCCAGGAGAAGAGTAGCAGATCTCTTGGCGTTATTGTCAAAATAAATCAGTAGCCTTCTAAGGTTTCTCCCTTGAAGATGTATTTGCAATATTTGATGTAGATAACTACTGATGTGTTTATTAAGAAAAATTTTAAAAACGTCTTTCACAATAAAATTTATATACTAATAATACTATAGACAATGAAAATGTAGCCTTAGGAATGTAACAAGTGAAGTCAATAAGCTAAATATTAGAAATAGAAAGTTCTTTTGTTAATGTCACTTGCAGGAAACCATACTTAAATAGCAGTACTTAGTCTCTCTGGTCATTGAAGCTTTTATGTATAGGAAGTTTTTATTTCTGAGACTTTGCTTAATTTTCTCTTATTTTTAAATGACCAAACCTTTGTCTTAATGTCGTTAAAATGCATTAAAGCAAATTCATGTCCAGCTTTTATACCTGGTCATGGAGTGACCAGCTTAATGAAATTATATCTTTTAAATTCTATATAACTTCTTTGGACAGATACTTTCCATTGCAATCAAAAACATGATTCACTACCTTTCCAAGGTGATTCTGTATTGTATGTTTGTATTTATTTAACATGTTTTCAAAGTAAAAAGAAAGGCTATCCTATAGAAATGAGGAGTAGGCAGTAACTTGCATATCTTCCTTAAATTCAGAAGGATTAAAGTATAGAGTTTCAAAGCCAGTAAATTCAGATTTACAGTTTGATGCTGACTCAGACACATAAAGTAGGATGCGAGCTACTCATTTCATGCATTATTAAATAAGTAAAGTTGTACATTTTGGATAAATTTTAAAAATTAATTTTCAGTGGAAAATGATGTGGGGTGGCAGTAGGGGTGGTAAGAAAAAGAACTAAATTGAAACTTCTAAGTATTATATCAGTTTAACAACAACAGTGACAAAAATTTGTGTAACTTTAAAACCTTTGGATGCTTCCATTCTCTTTTCCATTTTAGTGTCCTCTAATTTTTTTCTTCCTTTTGTTCTTTTTTTTTTAAGGCCACAATAAGCCAACTAAGGAGTGAACTTGCCAAAGGCCCTCAGGAAGTTGCTGTATATGTGCAGGAACTCCAAAAACTTAAAAGTTCACTTAATGAATTAACACAAAAGAATCAGGTGAGAATTTAAAAACTACATATAGTGGTAAATTGGTTTTAAATATCTTAAATTTTAATCTTGTGTATGTTATTTGTATATTGGCATGAGCACAGTGTGACTTAGTCTGTTTTGTTTTGTTTTTTGTTAAGTGTAAAGGACATTCACATTGTTATGGAACCAATCTTTAAAGCCCTTTCTGTCTTCCAGAACTAAAATTCTATACTCTGAACAACTCTGCATTCACCACCACCTTTTGTAGAGGAAAAACCACTCCCATGAGTCTGTACTGTCCGTACTCTACTCCACCTTTACTGCTGACACCAGATGTGTGTGTGCCACACAGCAGTAGTTTTGTGACACCAGTGGGTGTCCGACAGTGTAACTAATTCTGCCGCCATTTACTTGGAGATAGTGTCAGATCCCACAGGGACTGTGTACCCTCCCCCCCCCCCCCCCCAGCTTACCAGCTTGTTACCTGCCCTTCTCCCCAAATGGCTGTGGCTGTAAATGGGAGGTTCCCATAACCCTCACCTTAGATTGGATTAATTTGCTAGAATGACTCACAGGACTCAGGAAAACATTTTACTTACTAGGTTACTGGTTTATTTTAAAAGATTCAAGGGGCACCTGGGTGGCTCAGTTGCTTAAACTTCTGACTCTTGATTTAGGCTTGGGTTGTGACTTCACAGTTCATAAGATCGAGCCCCATGTCTGGCTCTGTGCTGACAGTGCAGAGCCTATTTGAGATTCTCTCTCTTCCTCTCTCTCTGTCCCTACCCCGCTCATGCGCTCTCTCTCTCTCTCTCTCAAAACAAACAAATAAATAAATAAACATTAAAAGATTAGAATTCAAGATTAGCTAGATTAAAGAGATCCATAGGGTAAGATGTATGGGAAAAGGCATGGGACTTCCATGCTCAATCTGGGTGTTTTCTGTGTGTTCACCAACCTAGCATCTCCCTAAACTCTGTCCTTTTGGGTTTTTATTGAGGCCTCCCTATGTAGGCATGATTGATTAATTTATTGGTCATTGCTGATTAATTTGACCTCCAGCTCCTCTCCCCTTCCTGAGGTGTGTGTGGGGGTGAAGGGGGTTAAAGTTCCAACCCTTTAATTTTTGTTGGTTCCCATGACAACCAGCCCCCATCCTTAGGGGTTTCTAAAAAAAAAAAAAAATCACCTCATTAACATAAACTCTTCAGTGATTGAAAGGGGGTTGTTATGACTAACAGATGACATCTTTGTTACTCTTTTTACTTAGGAAATTCCAAGGGTTTTGGAGCTCTATTCCAGAAATGGAGATGAACACCAAATGTATATTTCTTAATATAAGTTACAATCACACCTTTGATGCAGAGTTTTAGATTTGATGTAATCTAGTGTCTATTTTTACGTTTGTTGCTAGTGCTTTTGGTGTCATATTAAGAGATCATTGCCAAATCAATGTCAGGAAGCTTTTCCCCTGTTTTCTTCTAATGGTTTTATAGTTTTAGTCTTGTGTTTAGGTCTTTGATTCATTCTGAGTTAATTTTCTTTCATAGTGTAAGGTGGGAGTTCAGCTTCATTCTTTTGCATATGGATAAGCAGTTTCTCTTGCACCATCTGTTGAAAAGACTGTCCTTTTTTGTGGTCCTGGGACCATTGTTAAAAATCATTTGATCATGTATGTGAATGTTTATTTACGGGCTTTCTATTTTTTATATTGGTCTATATGTCTGTCTTCATGCTAATACCACACTGTTTTGACTACTGTAGCTTAAAAAAATTTATTTTAATGTTTATTTTTGAGAGATAGAGAGAGAATAAGTGGGGGAGGGGCACACTGGGAAGGAGACAGAAACCGTAGCAAGCTCTGGGTTCTGAGCTGTCAGCACAGAGCCTTACATGGGGCTTGAACCCACAGTCTGTGAGATCATGACCTGAGCCGAAGTCGGACGCTTAACCTGAGGCACCCAGGTGCCCCTGACTACTATAGCTATCAATAAGTTTTAAATCAGGAATGTGAGACCTTCAGCCCTGTTCTTTATTTTGTAACATTGTTATTTGCCACCTTGTTTCTTTATAGATGAGCAACAGATAATGTTTGGGGGCAGGGCAAGTATTGGTTAGTACTTTTTTTCTATGTCTTTACTCTCTCGGTTGTGTGGGAGTAGGGAGTCACTAAATAAACCCTTATATTCAGTGGTATGGTGAATTTGTTGGCTTTGCTTTTTAATAAGTTGAACCTAATATTTCGGTGAAATATGGCAAGGGAAGAACCAAAGAAAAGAACATGATGGAGGGGAAACGAATTAAGTATAATTGGCTGGAAACGTCAAGCCTCCAGCCAGCAGCCAGGTGAGTGAGCTTAGAAGCAGATCCTGCAGTTCTTTTCACATCATCAGAGACTATAGCTGTGGCCACCGTGCAGTACAGCAACCTCATGACACACCCTTAGGTGCTACACCACGGGCTGAGCTGCTTCTGGATTCCTGAGCCTCAGAAACTGTGAGATAATAGATATAATTTTAACCTGCTAAGTTTTAGGGTAATTTGTTGCTTGTGCCCTTGGTCAGCAGTTCTCAAACCTCTTGATCTCAGGACTGCTATATATTTTTCAGAATTGTTACGGACCCCATGGGGTGCCTAGGTGGCTCAGTCGGTTAAGCGTCCGACTTTGGCTCAGGTAATGATCTCATGGCTCATGAGTTTAAGCCCTGTGTCACGCTCTATGATGACAGCTCAGAGCCTGGAGCCTGCTTCGGATTCTGTGTCTCCCTCTCTCTCTGCCTCTCTCCTGCTCACACTCTCTCTGTCTCTCTCTCGCAAATATAAGTAAACATTAAACATTTTTTTAATTGTTATGGACGCCAAAGAGCTTTTATTTTTTGAGTTACATGTATGGATACTTAGAATATTAGAAATTAAAACAAATTTTAAAAATATATTTGTATTTTTAAAACATTAATTATTAAAAATTAACATCATACTATTTCTTATGAAAGATGACTGTTTTCTAAAACAAAAAATAGTGGTGATGTTTTATATTTTTGCAAACCTTAATGTCTAGCTTAATATTAGGACAGATGGATTCTCACATCTGCTTTCACATTTCATCTGTTGTGATATGGTTGAAGGGTATGAAGAAAATTGGATTTCACATAGATATGTAGTCAGGAAGAAGAGGAATCTCTGAATAGCTTTTTTGGATAATTATAGCTATTTTTATTTGATACTGTGCCCAAACTAGATAAGGCATAGTTTCTCAATAGCTAGTTAGTCTAGATTTTGAAACCATATCAATGCTATTTGTATACTTGTAACATTAAATTTATTAGTTTTTCTTGCCCTTTGACTGGATCTTTCCAGTGCATGATTTTATAACATCATGCATTAGTCAGGTGGAAAATATTGGTTAGGCAGATCTTCCAAATCTTGACACATTACATTGTATAAGATAAAAGCAGTATCATTTGTCAGTCTCTCCCTCAGTCTCTGAATAGGCTTTAAGTTTGAGGAAGTGTCAAGCTCATGGTGATGGATACAAGTTTTCCAAAATTCTGGGCATCATTTGAAAATTTGAATTTTATTATTGGAAACAAATACTATCAATTCTGTCTTCTTAAGTGATAGGGTGTTTTCCTACCAAGTCTGAATAATCATAGTTTGTTATTCTTTCCAGTAAAAATGGTGTTTTAGAAAAAAAGCAACTAGCTTAGCCTGTAATTTAAGACCCTAAATGCTCTTCCATGTGACAGTTCTGTTATTCTTTGGTATGCAGCAGAAGTGATCTATGCATACTTCCACTTTTTCACATAGATTTTATTTTTCCTTGCTATTCCAAATATTGCAGCTGTGAACATTCACATTCAATCTCATACATTTGTGTAAGAATTTCTTTGTTATATCTTCCAAGTGAAATTGCTGGATTGTAGGTTACACATGTTCAAGTTTAGTACGTGACCTCTAACAATTTTCTGAAGTAATTTTATCAATTTACCGTTGTCCATTTCTCCATCAACTCTTGATATTGACTTGATCTTTTTCTGTGGCTTTATGAAAACCTGTCCATTCCCTTCCCCCTTTTTTCTCCTGTCAAGCTATACATGGAAAACCTCTATGTACAATTTAGTTTTATCTTTGTCCCTCAGTTTGATTTTTAATTTCTTACAAATTGACATTCTACTTTTTGGAAATTGACCAGGATGTGTACATGAAGTGAATGTTTATGATCAGGGTCATTTATTATATAATTTTGAAACATTAAACTATTAATAAAGGACATGATTGGACATTGATAGACTGAAATGTATGCTCAAATAATGAAGCACAGATTGTATGTACACACACACACACCATTGTTAAAGGAAGTACTATGAGAACTTGATAATATGTAGAATCAAGATGATTTAGTGTGGTAAAACTGGAATATGGTTGCTTAGGGATTAGGAGAATCTTCTACTAATTTTAATAATCCTTATGTCTCTGTACTACTTAATTTTTTTTCCAAAATGTTTTCCTGTTTAGGATGTATTCACCAGTTAAAGTAAGTGCAGAAATGCAGCCTTTTCTTACTGTTCTTACTATCTGCCCCTCCCGCCTCTCCTCATCCCATGTTCTTGGCTCGCCGTACTGACAGTGCTGATATCCACGTGTTTTGAATTTGGAAATCTTTGTATATGGTCTTAGGAAGACCATTACATAAAATGCCTTGGACAGTTTTTGTGGGTCATAGCAGCATCAAGGTGGATAGACAACATTTTAATACATAATGAATGGAAACAATAATTGTTTTTGCACTAATGTCAAGATATCCTCAGCAGTAGACCAGTGTTTTGTAATTACTGCTTTTGAAAACTTAAAAATAAAAGGGGATTATTGAAAAACTTCCTTCTTAGTTTCTAATAAGAATCATACTCATATTTATTTACTCATTCATTCATTCATTCATACACTAACATTTAAACACAATTCTGCAACTCAATTATTTTTATGTAAATTCTAAACAAAATCATATGTTTATTTAAAGCTACTAGTAT